ATATACATGTATATCTGTATATATATATATTATATATTATATATATGTAGCATTATATGCATACAGAGTAATAACATCAGTCTTTAAAGACAGCGAGACGAGAGAGAAAGAGACAAAGAGATAAAGAGCAGCGAGAGCACAGCAAAAATATTAAATAATAAAACAAACAAAGCAGATGAAAAAGAATTTAAGTTGGGTCTGCAGACACACGAAATAAACTTTCAGCGCTTCTTGCTGCTGCTGCTGTGTCGCTTGCTGCTGGTTGCATGCCTTTTGCTGCTGCTCTCATGCTTCTTGCTGCTGCTCTCACGTCGCTTGCTGCTGCTGCTGCTGCTGCTGCTATGTCCTTTGCTGCTGCTGCTGTGTTTCCCTGTGTGTGTCTCCTCCTTGCGTTTGCTGTCTTTTGATTTCTTGTCTTTAGTTTTGCTGCTGCTGCTGCTGCTGCTGCTGCTCTTTTTGTCTGTCTCCTTGCGCTTTCTCTCTTTGTCTGCTTCTCGCTTCTTTGAGGTTTTTCTGTCTCTGCTGCTGCTTCTGCTGCGGCTGCTGCTGCTGCTGAGGCTCCTGCCCCGTCCCTTGGTGTGTCTCTTTCTGCTGCTGCTGCCGCGTCTTCTGCTGCTGCTCCTGCTGCTGCTGCGTCTCTTGCTGTTGCTGGTGCTGCGGCTGTGACGGCTGTCTTCTTCTGCTTTAGCAGCAGCAGCAGCAGCAGCAGCAGCAGCAGGTCTACCAGCCATTGATCTAAACGCTGCTGCTCTCCTCCACAGAACATGTCTCTCTTGACTACCTGCTTTGCTGTTTTTATCTGGGGATTTCATTCTGCTGCTGCTGCTGCTGTTGCTGCTGCTCCTGCTGCGGCTGCGGCTTCTGCTGCTGCTTCTGCTGCGACTTCTATCAATGCTGTCTCTGCTGATGCTGCGGCTCCTGCTAACAGAGACGCTTGTGGGTTCACGCTGTGCTGCTGCTGCAGCAGCAGGAGATTTGTCTCCTGCTGCAGCAGCATCATCGCTGCTGCTGCTTTTCTTCAACGCCTCCTCCTCCCCCTGCTGCTGCTGCTGCTGCTCGTTCTTAGCTTCCTCTTGCTGTGCTTCAGACTTCTGCTTGGGGGCCTCTAAGCCTGCTAACGTCTCCAACATTCTTAAGAGAGTTTTCTTAACTTGTTGAGGTATCTGCTGTCTGCCTTCTGCTCTAATAAGATCAACGAGGCCTGCTTCATCTCCTGCTGCAGCAGCAGCTAAACCCTGCGGCTCCTTGAGTGCAGCAGCAACTAGCTGCTGCACTGTAAACACAAAACCTTCCCTATGAAGCTGCTCTTTTGTCATCTTCATCAATCTATAGAAATCCCCGTCTTCTTGCAATCGGTGCAGCAAAAGCTGCTGCCCTGATCCTGAGGGGCCCCCTAATCTCTCTCTTTTATTGTTTTTATCTGTTCTTAAAGGGACGTAGTCTGAAGGATTAATATTCTTCATATGTTCATCTAAAGACTGTGAAACACCAATGCCCTTACCCATATTAGAGGGCCCCCCTGGGGGGCCCCCAGGGGCCCCTTCACCAGGTCTGCAGGGTCCTCCTGCAACAAATGGTAGGCCTGCAAACCCTCCTGTTGCTGCTGCTAGAGTAGCAGCAGCAGCTGCTGCTGCTGCTGCTGCTGCTGCTGCTTCATGAGGCACACCTCCAGGGCCCCCAAATGGTGCAGGAGGAGCGCCCGGAGGAAATGCACCGCCTGGAGGAGGAAAAGGAGGAAGAGTAAAGCCCCCAGGGGGATGGGGGCCCCCCCCTATGGGGCCCCCAGAGAAGGGAGGGGGGCCCCCAAAAGAACCCGGTTGGGGGAACATAGGCCCGGGGGGCCCCATAGTGCCACTGGGGGCCCCAGATGATGAGGGGGCCCCCTGAGGGCCCCCAAAGTTAGGGGCCCCCATGCCGTTTGATAGATAACCAGGGGGTGGGGGGCCCCCATTAGGGGGCCCTCCTTGACGAGATCTTGATGGGGGGAATGAAGACGCCTGCATGACGGCTTAGGAAGGCAATGATAGGGTTTATAGGTGGATTAAAAGGGTAAAACAAATTAAAATAAAATAAATAATAAAGAGAAAACAAATAAATTCAAATAGAAAAGAGAGTGAAAAGCAATCTTTGCAGATGCCGCAGCCCCCTGATTACCGGGGGGCCTCACGATGGACGGGCTGGAGGTCTATTTAGGCCCTAAGATATAGTAAAAAGCAAAGTAGAATACAAAATAAAAGAAATAATAAATATAAAAAGAATAATAAACAAACAAAAAGATTTCTTCAGACCTCCACAGCAGCAAACAGAAGACAGAGCAGCGGGGCTCCTCTCAAGCAGCTTTCAGTAGTAGCAGATAAGGAAATATATACACAATATTGAATAAAAAAGGAATTAAAAGAATAGACTTAATTTAATTTGTTTATATTTACTCCTATTTATTTTTATACAACTTAATCTCAATTTAAAAGCCTATTTTGCTGAATGCAGCTGAGAAAGCCGCAGCAGCAACCTGCATGTACACCCCAGCAGCCTTTCATTTGTATAATTGCTTCCTTTTTCTCTGTCTGTACGTAGAAAGAGGCGAATAAAGGTTTAAATGCGTTGTTTTTATCTAGTTAAATTAATTTAAATAAAGATATTTTTTTGTTTTAGCTATGATACTTCAGTCTCTCTCTGCTCTATAGACAGCCCGCACGCCCTCCCTTCACTGAGTAAACAAGAAATTTATTCATAATTTCAATTAAAATATATAATTATGAACATATATATTTAATTACTTATTTATTCTGTCATAAGCTTAGCCATTACTCTCGATGGCTGATGCTCTTTCTAAGACTTCCTCCCTCAACCTCGATAGACAAGCACTGCCAGAGACGAGTAGAATAAGAAAAGATAATTAAAATAGTTTAAATAAAATTGAAGATAGCTGTAAAGGAAATATTAAAGGAGAGTTTATCATCCCTTGAAATTAATTATCTAAAACACGTATTAATTATTCTTTTTTATACAAACCTCTTATTATGATTTACACACCTTGAAACGTATTGCATGCATTAAAAGGGATGCTGCAGCTGCTGCAGCAACAGCACCAACAGCAAGACGCTGCTGTGCATAATATTAATTGTATTAATAATTAATATTATACTGATATAATATAATAATGACACACAGCAGCACTGATATAATATGACGTTATCTAAAAATATAACAAATTTCTTATGAACAAAACAAATTCATAATATACACCAATATTTTTATATAGGAAACAATAAAAGAAGAAGAGGGCTCTAACATATATATATATATACATTTATATATATGTATATAGGCAAGAAAGCAGCACAGAAGGAGAAAGCCTCCCTGTTGTTTACTTAGGGAAGAACACTAATTAAAATACTCATTCAAACAAAAAGGAAAGAAGAAGAGGGACATACATCTATATATATATATATTATGCATGCATATGTATATACATATATACATATATATATATATATATATATATAGAGACAGAGAGAGAGAGAGAGGAGGGCGATACATACATATATAATGCACATATATATACGTAATGTATTAATTATAGATATATAATATATAGATGCATTTATATGTATCTATATATTATATACAAGAGAAAACAAACAAAAGAAGAGAATATGCTGCTTATATAAACTCCCTTTGATGCATCCGTCTGCCATCGCTGTATTTATTGATTTATTATTTATTGTAATAAATAAATAAAAGTAAATAAATAATAAACAAAGACAACAAAAGATATCTTTGTCTCTGTCTCTGTTCTTCTGTTGTTTTTGGTGTTTACTATCTATTTATTTATTTATTATATGCATGACGCATGCATAAACAGACAAAGACAAGGAGATGGAGAGAAGAGAGATACAAGTAAATATACAGACAGAAAGAGACAGAGAAACAGAGAATAAATAGAGGAATAGAGAGAGAAAGAGACGGAGACATATATATGTATATATATATATATATATATTCCTCTCGAGGGGTAGAGATAGATATTGAGAGAAACTGCATATATATAATATACATATACATATATTTCTCTCGAGGGGTAGAGATAGATATCGAGAGAAACTGCATATATATAATATATATATATATACATACATACATAAAATATATGTATGCATATACAATGCTTACACATATATATATATATATATACTATTGTACACTACATATTATATAAAATATCTATCTCTCTATTCAAATTATTTCCTAAGGCCTCTTCTACATCGCTTTCTTTCTTTTTTTCTGCTATCTCTTTTCTATGGCTGCTAATTGCCTCTACCGCTCTTCTGCATAGCCGCTACTAGAGTTAATATATTTTTCTAGGGATCGTTATATATAGGCTTCTCTTAGAGAAACATTCAGAGTTTATTTCCCGCAAATAAACATCAATAGTCGAAAGCGTAAAGTTCAAAGCAAACTTGCCGCACAAACAGGGCGAGCCAAACGAGGTGTCTGTACACCGCGGCAGATTCATTTGCTGCTGCCTTTCTTTCTTTTTCCCCGCGCTACATTACTTTACTCACCTGCAGCCAGCAGCAAGCGAAGTACTTCTGTTCAAGTACGAAAGGGAATGCAATCAGAGGCTTAAACTGCTGCTCGCCAACCCCCCGCAGCTAGCTAGCTGACGAGCTAGCTAGCTGGCTGGGCTAACTGGCTGGCTAGCCATCGAACAGGCGGGACAGCTAGCTAGCTAACTAACCAGCTAGCTAGCAAACGAGCTAGCTAGCTAGCTAGCTAGCTAGCCAGCTATCTAACAATAAGGTTAGCTAACTAGCGCCAAGAAGGCTAGCTAGCTGGCCAGCTAGCTAGCTGGCTAGCGGGCTCGCTCAACCGCATAAATTGGCCTCTACGCAGCAGCTGTTGCTAGGATTGTGATGAGACTGGCGAAAAGAAGAGAAGGCACAGCAGCAGCTGCACCACCGGTGGAAGACTCCTTCAGGTCTGCCTCTGTCATCTCCGTGATGGGCGTGTTACGCGCATGCAGAGCATCGTAGTACTCCTTGCTGAGATTAACATTTCAATACACATTAGAAGACAACCATTAGACCTATATACATATATCTATATATAAATGTACATACACATCTGTACATGTAACTCTGCATAGTACATCTATGCATCTATATAAGTATACGAACACATAAATATATGCAATGCATATATATTTACATACATATATACATATATATATATATATATATATATCAGTGCTAGGCAGCAGGTCAAAGCATCTCATCCACGCACCTGAATGGAGCTGCATTTTGTTGAGCGGCTGGAGAAAACTGGCAGACGAGAATAGCTTCTTTTCCTGATGATAGTGGTGTATCATCAGTACATACACCGACGGCGCATGCAATCTTCGTACTTTGAGACCAAAGCAGATTCGCCAGATTCGCGCCATCAGGGTTCGACCAGAACGCGTCCCACGTCGATGGGTACGTCGGCAATTGCCTGAGACCAAACAAACCCCAAAAAACAAGCGATGGATATATAAAATATATATATACATTCATATATATATATGTATATATTATATATATAAATCCATACGAGGAGGAAAGCTTACCCGAGCCCCTTGTTTAAGGCAGTCTGCACCATATCGCGGTAGTTGGTGGCTTTGCTGGTTTCCTGGGTGAACTTCACGCTAAATGTTAGCTTCTGAAAACGAAAAAAGAAAAAAGAGGTCAAGCTTATGTTCTTCGGTTCCTGTCTATTGGAGGTGGAGGTCTCTTCAAATTTTATCATGAGTACTCTTAAATGATGCACATACTCAAAAGGTACTTTCAAATGATGTACTTTCAAATGATGCATTTACTCACAAGGCTTGCTCCAAGTGTCATGTTGTCACATGTATCGGCGGTCGTTAGTCCGGTGCCGTCCCCCAAAGCTGTTTTTAGGGTCTTAACCATATCGTCCGCCTTTTCTAGTTCGTTAATATGAACAGAGAGCTTCCCATTACGCGCCAAGTTGGCTGAAAGGTACATATCTGCGGTCATGAGAAGCAGAAACACACAGAAGCAATGATGAGAACGTGAACGCCGAGCGATGATCAATGGGGAAGATGCGCTTCTCCTGGCTCTTTACATTCTGGTCCTTATAGAATATAAAGTAGAAAGGAAAAACACGGAAAAGCTGCGATTGCTTACCATCGGTCACATCTTCCGCAGCGAAGGTTGTTGCCGCCGTCGCTAACTGAAACCCATAGAGAGCCACGAGGCAGAAGGCGGATGACTTGAAGATGAGCCCCATTGTGAAAGAAAGCGGAGTGTAAAACGCAGAGAACAACTAAATGATCACAATGAAAGAACAAAACAACAAATGTAACCG